CCCTCCCTCCCTCCTCCCTCCTCCTCCCTCCCTCCTCCTCCTCCTCCCTCCCTCCCTCCCTCCACCTCGCCGTTACCTGGAAATGTTTACCTGAGTATCTATTAATAGTCTCCGCGTCTCTCTCCAGGTGCGCCGATGACTACGTGGGGTGATGGTGAGGATGGTGATAGTGGTGCTGGAGGGGTTAATGATGGTGAGGATGGTGATAGTGGTGCTGGAGGGGTTAATGATGGTGATAGTAGTGGTGCTGGAGGGGTTAATGATGGTGATAGTAGTGGTGCTAGAGGGGTTAATGATGGTGAGGATGGTGATGCTGGAGGGGTTAATGATGGTGATAGTAGTGGTGCTGGAGGGGTTAATGATGGTGAGGATGGAGGGTTAATGATGGTGATAGTAGTGGTGCTGGAGGGGTTAATGATGGTGATAGTGGTGCTGGAGGGGTTAATGATGGTGATAGTAGTGGTGCTGGAGGGTTAATGATGGTGGTGATAGTGATGATGGTGACGATGTTGAGTAATATTGATTGATAAAAGTGTTTATGGTATAATAATGACAATGGTAATGTGATGATGATGATAATGACCTTCCAACAGCAGGCCACCGGCCCTGCCTCCCTCACCTCTACCCCACCACCCCTCTACCACCACCACCCCCACCTCTACCCACCCCACCTCCACCACCACCCTCACCTACCACCACTACCCCCACACCCACCTCTACCCACCCCACCTCTACCACCACCACCACTCTACCACCACTACCCCCACCTCTACCCACCACCACCCCACCTCTACCACCATCACACCACCATCACACTCCCACCACCCACCTCCTTCCTCCCACCTCCTACCATCACCCCACCATCACCCCTCCCACCCACCACCACCACCCCCACCTCTACCACCATCACCACCACCATCACCCCATCACCCCCACCTCTACCACCATCACCACCACCACCACCCCATCACCACCACCTATTTTAAGAAACACCCTGATGAAACCAGTCTTTTTCGCGTCATAATAACGGGAGAGACGCAATTAACTTAACCAGGATGTTGTTCACTAAATATCTTTTACCGGTGATCTGCCAGGAAGTAAAAGAGCCTGTGATTGTAAAATACCTGAGTTATTAATTACAGGTACACTTACAAGTACAGGTACACTAACAAGTACAGGTACACTTACAAGTATAGGTACACTTATAAGTACAGGTACACTTACAAGTACAGGTACACTAACAAGTACAGGTACACTTACAAGTACAGGTACACTTACCAGTACAGCTACACTTACCAGTACAGGTACACTAACAAGTACAGGTACATTTACAAGTACAGGTACACTTACAAGTATAGGTACACTTACAAGTACAGGTACACTTACAAGTACAGGTACACTTACCAGTACAGGTACACTTACCAGTACAGGTACACTTACCAGTACAGGTATATATAAATTTTTAATTAAATCACAACACTTTCAGGTGCAGATAATTTTAAATGACAAGTTACAGAGAAATACAGAAACAAATACTTATGCAAGGTTGGGTTGGGTTGGGTTAGGTTAGGTTAGGTTGGGTTAGGTTAGGTTAACATCCATCAAGAGAGACAGATCTTTGAATCTGTCTACAGTGACGTAACAAAAGACGATGTTCGTGACGTAGCGGTACGTGTCTGACAGTAAGTAATGTATGACGTCACTTCATTGTTTGGTTCACTGCCAATATAAACAAGAAAGGATAAACTGCCTCAGGCGTAGATGGTGTTAAATCTGAGTGGGGCCGTGTAACCAGTGGGGTTCCCCAGGGGTCAGTACTAGGCCCACTCTTGTTCATAATATATATAAACGATCTAGATACTGGGATCAGCAGTGACATAAGCAAGTTTGCGGATGACACCAAAATAGGGCGGCAGATTAATTCAGGGCAGGATGCAAATGCACTTCAGAAGGATTTAAATAAACTGCAGGAATGGTCAGAAAAATGGCAAATGAAATTCAACACCAGTAAGTGCAGCGTACTTAATATTGGAAGAACAAATAATGTCAATGTATACAGCCTTAACATCAACCTAGAGAAGTCGACTTGTGAAAGAGACTTAGGGGGTACTTGTAAGCCCGGACCTACGGCCTAGAAAACAGTGCGTTAATGTTCGAAATAAAGCAAACAGAGTATTAGGTTTTATATCTAGAAGTGTAAGTAATACGAGTGCAGAGGTCTTATTGCAACTATATCTTGCGTTAGTCAGGCCGCACCTCGATTAAGCGGTTCAGTTCTGGTGACCTTATTATAGAATGGATATCAATTCACTAGAGTCGGTGCAGCGAAGAATGACGAAAATGATTCCGGGACTTAGAAACCTTCCATATCAGGATAGATTAAAGAAACTAAACTTGCATTCCCTAAAAAGACGAAGAGTGCGGGGAGATATGATAGGTAGTTACTGGTGAGAAATAGTGATGTACTTGTCATATATGGCCAACCCTTTAATGGCCAGATATTATATTATTGTGGCGTGGCCAATGGCCATGAGCAAGTGGCTGTCAGTAGATGCGTCCGTGTTGAGGAAGGAGGAGGTCATGGGGAGGGGAGGAGGAGAGGAGGGGGTCATGGGGAGAGTATTACTTGGGTATCATGGTCACTACGTCTCACACTTGTACTTATAATAAGTATTTAAGTTGGTGAAAGGAATCAATAAAGGGGATATAGATAAAGTTCTTATAATATCTGAGCAGGATAGGACTCGTACCAACGGATATAAGTTGGATAAGTTTAGGTTTAGGATGGAGATAGGAAGGAACTGGTTCACAAATAGGGTGGTGGACGAGTGGAACAAGCTTAGCAACTTTGTAGTAAGTGCTGGAACGCTGGAAAGTTTTAAAAGGAGGCTAGATAGATTCATGGATGATAGAGTGGTAGTAACTCGACAGGAGCTGCTATGCACAGGCCAACCGGCCTATTGCAGACTCCTTATTTTCTTATGTAATCAAATGCTGAATTAATACCGATCATTAATAACCTAACCTAACATTTACCTCGTCTGGGTGTGTGTGTGTGTGTGTTTGTGTGTGTGAATGTATGTGTCCATCGCCTAACATCCACACAGCTTCACAAAATCCCATCATAGACATTAAAAAATATTCAAGTCTATTATAGTAACGTACACCCCAGTGAGAGGTCATGTTGGTGACGTATTTAACCTACATATGGTAAGAATGAACCACGCTTCCTCGCCCCATCCCAGTAAAGAACAGGTCGTGGCGTGTTTTACTCCGTCGCGGTGCAGGAGTGAGTCGGATTTTTTGATATTATGATTTTGAAGTATTATTTTTATTATTATTATTATTATTATTATTATTACTGGTTATTATTATTATTATTATTCGTTATATTTCTGTTCTATGTGTATGATATTTCACCATATTATGTAAATCACTGCGTCTATTTTATATTGAAACTCGTATTTGTGTCAATGTTTCTAAATATATATATTTTTTGCACTACTGTGAATCCAAATAGACGAGGATAAATATGTCTTTAATTGGCTTCAGGGTTAGGCTTGTTGAGAGGTGGGGGCGGGGGAAGTCCGTCAATAGGTGAGGGTAGGGGAGGGAATGGAGGGGTGAGGGAGGTATATTCATCTTATAGCAGGATCCGAGGATCATGTGGGGGCGTCTCCTCATAGCTTTACTAACAACACTTTTTGCCTCCTGGACCGGGACCATTGCCATCACCAAGATGCCCGATAACTTATTACAGCTAAGTGTTGTTTTCCTGGCGGCCACGACAAGATTTCTCTGGGTGGAATTATATCTAACAGACTCCCATAATACACACTTGAGAACATCCCCACTCTATATTAATAAAGCGAATATCCCACGTTACAGCCTATTCTGTACCCTACTGGATTCAGATAGGTTGGGTACTGTACTATGTTCCTTGGTGCAGTCCGTCTGTGGTGTGAATATCTTCTCGTCTAGAGTAACGCGTTAAGTCGGTGGATTACCCTCAAGTTGGGGTAATCCTGCCTTTACGTAATCCAAGACCTTTTACCACACTATAACCTTTACATTAGACCACATACTAATACGTGGTCTTACGTAATTTTCTGTATAATTTATAGCAGAATTTTTTTATTTTATTGGTGGACTCTACTGATATATGTAACTCATCTTAATTTGTATTTATAAGGAGTAAGTCAAATTCATTTATTACATAACTCGTATCAAGGGATCACTCACAACGGCCCAAATGAAAAATGCATTTCTTTCACAACAGATATCTGATTGTTTTCCGATATCTGATAAGAGTACACCTTCCTGTTTGGCAGATGTTGTTGATCTGACGTGTTTGTATTTGTGTAAATAACCTGCTTCATCTCTTATCTATTGGGTGTAAGAGTTATGAATAAGTATATTAGTTTAGGTTTGTTTACATTGGGGCTGGGTTCCCATAATAGCAACTCTGTGGAGGTAGACGGTGGTGCCACATCGCTGCTCTTATCCTGATTCTCCTCACCATTTAAGATACTCATCAGTGTACACTTGCGTTCTCACAGCTGTATTAGATTTTTAATAATTTACCACAGTTTCTCGAAAAAAATTATATATTATATTATTAAAATGGTGAGTAATGACATTGTCGTATTGTATGACTTATAATTGAGTTTGTAAAAAAAAAAAGCGCGTGGCTGTGGGTTGGGGGAGACATGGCATCACTGGAACCTTGGTGTTCCTCGGCTCGGGATTGGCCCTGGCTGGTCACGTGGTACACAGCACACTGGCCCGGCCTTATCGATAACTTGAATCATTTTCCTTGAATTATAGGTGCAAATTTAATTGTATTTACACATTGTTATCACCTTAGAAGATGATCCTAGTCATGTAGTAATTTACACCAGGTTATGTCGTGTAATAACAAGGAGACAAGCGGGAGCGAGAAAGACGGGGCAGAAAGAGGGATGTGGCACCTATCCTCGCGAGTGGATTCACATGCGTAAGCGATGATAAGTTAACGGTGGACCGTATAACTAGGATGTGCGGTCTTCTCTCAGCCGTTCTGCACTGTTTTCTGTCTATTTCAAAAGTCCCTTAAATATTTATAACAGCCAGATCCGTGAATGGGATAAAAACGAGTGGTTGACGAAAGCCAATACCGTCTTTGTGTGCATTTTCTGGCGAGTGTTGGGTCGTGTTGTTATAACCAAGTGATCTTGAAAACAACTTGGAAGTGGAGGGTATTTATATATGTGTGCCTGTACAACGGTGTAAAACCAGTAGTGTGAGTGTCATAACCTTTAGTGATACTTAGACCACCAGCATCCTGTTTTCTGAAGTGGATGTGAAGGGAGGATGGTGATGTGTTGTAGAGAGTTGGTGGATTTACTTGTGCCCCCAAGATGCCCCAGAATCTAGGTAAGTTGATGTATTTTGTCTAGTTTGATGTTTCAAGATGCACAGTTATGGATGTCCTTTATTTAAACATGCCAACATTATGGTAATAAGTGTGAGTGAGTGCCTAGGTACCCAGAGAACGTCTTGCCATAGCGAAATAACAGTTGTGATCAGAAGTAGTTGTCAATAGCATGGCTGCTAGCAAATAGTTTAATCGGACAGGAAATGGGTTATAAATGTCACAGAATGGCTGCCCAAGGTTGGAAAGGGGTTTAGCGATGCCCTTGGTACATAAAACTAAAAAAATGAATCAACCGGATGGTAAAAATGTCGTAACGTTAGGAGATGGGTGTGTGGATGGTGTTGGCTGTGTGAACGGATGCAGCGTGAGTGTCATCATCATAGTGGCACTAAGAAGAAATGTCATCAAAATTAAAGTGGTGTAATTCATTCACGCTTAGATAACTTAACCTAACTTTTACTGGATGTAGACCAATTCACATAGGTTCATCCTGCACATGAACATTGCAGGTATACAACCAGTGATAAGCAATTAAATACAGTCAATCAAGAACAGACCAAGAAAGCCATTAACAGCTTTCCTCTTAAGCCATTATGTGGGGCTGGTCCTTAATCAGACCCAGGTTAACCAAATTAAACTTTTCCTAGTTAAACTAATTCATCCTAACTAAAGCTATCAATTTTAACCCAGCAAAATGAACTTAAACCAAAGTAACTTAACCTTAACCCAGCCAAAGCAAATCTAACCAACCCTTACCTAACATAAACTACGAATATTCTAACCAAACCAACTATAGCTAAACCTAACAGCGTAACGTAACCAAATAACTTACCAGTGTGGTTATAATGACGGGAATCTGTATACGCTCAGGTTATTTGGATTTTGTTCTGTGAGATTCTGTATATAACGGTTGGGTTAAGTTGAAGTTATCTGATGGTGAAGAGGGAGAATACGTCTTGATGGTGAAGAAGAGTAGCGTTGTGGATGGGAGGGTGTAGTGTAGTGTAGTGTGCTTACAGGATGTGATGAAACGAGTCTTTGTGAATGGATGGAGGGATCTAAAAGGGTAGGTTTTGGGGAGCTGTGTTTGTGAATGTCTGTCCTGTTGTGCAGTGTAGGAGGTAGGCATTACAGCTTTAATTAGTGCGTGTGTTATGACCAAATTACAAAATGTTAGGTAAATACCTCAGTCATTGTTGTCGTAAGTGCACGATTCCTTTGATGGTTTAGGACTTATATTCTTAACGGTTATGAATGATTATTGTGACGTCACGGTAGTCTCAACATATTCATTGGGTTTTAACAAATTCAATAATAGTTTATTTTATTGTATTTTTGTTGTAACTTTTTATATTTATTTATTCGGGTGTAGTGTATTTTCTGTTTATATATATACAGTATTTTTCTACAGGATTTCTACGACCAAATAAAACTTTAAAGCTGAATTAAAAAAAAACAATCTGAAATGTAACAATGTGTTGGGTGATCTAGTTTATGACTCCTTCTAGAGATTAATATATGTCTGGGGGGGATATACAAATATATATATATATATATATATATACTGTATATGACACGAGAGATTAGTGTAAATCTGGAGAATATATATGACTCACACCAGTATATATAATATTATATATGTGATTGTTGTGGCGTCATTTAGAGTTCTGCTGTGACTCACTGATACATAACACATGACGTCATCTGCTTGACATCTTGATACGTGCCCAGGGCGTCATGCACCTCCTGACTCACTCACTGTGTTTACTGATGGATGGAACTTGAATTCGATTGATGAAGTGAAACGGAATGTATAGGGAATGAGACTGGAATGAAAGAAGAGGAGACAGACTGGACTGAGAGAGAAGAGACGGGAGTGAGACAGAGAAGAGACAAAGTAAGAGAAGTGACGGGAGTGAGACAGAGAAGAGATAGAGGTTTTGATAGTCACAAGAAACACACACACACACACACGTGGGCAATCTATAAATCTCGCACACACACACACACATGGCTTTATTTATTTAAGTCGTACATGTCATGGGCCGTGTGTTATTAGGCTCAAGGCTCTGTAGGATTGCTACTGTATCATGTCATGCCCTGTTGTGTTGTGGGGTCATGGGTTGGTGGTTATTACGTGTTGTGGGTTGTTAACTTGTCATGGGTGTTATGGTATGACATGTCACATTGTCATGATAATGTAATGATAGTGTGTGTGTGTGTGTGTGTGCGAATAATTGGATTTGAAGATGTAGCTGCTTATGTATGTTTGTGTGCGTCTTTGGTGCTGGCTGGCTTACGTGTGTATTGACTTGCGCAGTGGCGTACGTGTGTGTGTGTGTGTGTGGGGCGCATGTAACCTGTGACGCGCCCTTGTAGTCCAGGCATTGTGAAGAGAAATGGTCAGTAATTGTCTGAAGGAGTCCCTCCCTCCCTCCCTCCTCCTCCTCCTTTTTGTTTTTTTTTTTTTTTTTTTTTTCATCTCATCCATCCATCCATCCATCCGTCAATTTATCCTCCCTCCCTCCCTCCCTCCCATCCATCCATCCATCCGTCAATTTATCCCTCCCTCCCTCCTCCCTCATCCCTCCCTCCTACACCGAGAACAGTGGACCAGACGGACAATCGGGACCTGATTCTCCACCACTCAATATCCCGACACGTTCTGATTGGCTCTGTTCATTATATATTTTTAGTAAACAAAATCTTAGGCTGGTGTAGAAGTGTATGGTGTTAGGTTAGGTTAAATCGTCTTTGGAGGGTTATGGTGTTAGGTTAGGTTAGGTTAAATCGTCTTTGGTGGGTTATGGTGTTAGGTTAGGTTAAATCGTCTTTGGGGCGGGGGGTATGGTGTTAGGTTGCCAGTAATGGTGCAGGTGGCCCCCAGACTCTATAGCTACTCGGGATGGTCCATTGTGCGACACACTGTGATAAGCTCTGTCCTACCAGCTCTCCTGACGATTGTGGTGAGGACGTGACGTTGAGGTGGTGGCAGGCTGGGAGATAACGATGGGTGAGATTATCAGTGATAAGGCTGATAAGATTGTGTCATGTGCGTTACCATGTATGGTGCTGTATTGACCACCGCATAACACCGTTGAGTCTGATTCTACCTGCTAATTAATTTTTGAGTCTTATTACACCTCAAAATATTTAGGGAAATGTTTTTGTTTTAATATCATTGACCTTAAATCTTTCCTTCGAGATTATTGGCTACAGGTAGGTGTGTGTGTGTGTGTGTGTGTGTGTGTGTCTCGTGTACTACTTAAGGTCACTTGAGGATTTACCTCCAGCTTATTTCGCCTTAAGGTCAACCAACCAAACCGTCCATTACGCTAACCTAACCAAACCACCCTTAACGCTAACCTAACCTAACCAAACCACCTAACGCTAACCTAACCTAACCACATAACGCTAACCTAACACCCCTTAACGCTAACAAACCACCCTTAACGCTAACCTAACCAACCACATAACGCTAACCTAACCAAACCACCCTTAACGCTAACCTAACCTAACCACCCTTAACGCTAACCTAACCTAACCACACCAACGCTAACCTAACAAACCACCTAACGCTAACCTAACAACCACCCCCAACGCCTAACAAACCACCTTAACGCTAACCTAACAACCATACTTGCTAACACAACACAACCATACGCTCCTAACTAACCACCCTTAACGCTACCTAACCAAACCACTTAACGCTAACCCCTGCAACCGCTTACCTAACCTAACCACCCTTAACGCTAACCTAACAAACCACCCTTCAACGCTAACCTAACCTAACCACCCTTAACGCTTCTAACCCACCCTTAGCTAACCTAACCTAACACCCTTAACGCTACTTCTTAAGCCACCCTTTAACCTAACCTACCCCTTAGCATCCTAACAAACCACTTAACGCTAACCCTAACCAAACTACCACTTAACCTAACCCTACCTTTACCGCCAACATTAACCCTAACCAAACCACTCTAGCAACTAACCTAACTAACCACCTTAACGCTAACCTATAAACCACCCTTAGCTAACCTAACTTGCCCTTAGCGTTCCTTAACTTAACCACTTCCTTAGCTAACCTAACCAAACCACCCTTAGCTAACCTAACCTAACCACCCTTAACGCTAACCTAACCAAACCACCCTTAACGCTAACCTAACCTAACCTAATTTCAACCTTATCTAATCTACTCCCCAGATAAGGGTAGTATTTTGAGGTGATCCAGTTCGTTTACAGTACATACCTCTATTACACCTGGCAGGTAATGGTTAGGTTAGGTTAGGTTAGGTTAGGTTAGGTTAGGTTAGGTTAGGTTAGGTTAGGTAAGGTAAGGTAAGGTTAGGTAAGGTAAGGTAAGGTAAGGTAAGGTAAGGTAAGGTAAGGTAAGGTAAGGTAAGGTTAGGTTAGGCTAGGTTAGGTTAGGTTAGGTTAGGTTGTTAGGTAAGGCAAGGCAAGGTAAGGTAAGGCAAGGTAAGGTAAGGTTAGGGTTAGGTTAGGTTAGGTTAGGGCTAGGTTGAAGAAGTATAGGGTTAGGTTGGGTTAGGGTAAGGTAAGGCAAGGTAAGGTAAGGTTAGGTAAGGTAAGGTAAGGTAAGGTTAGGTTAGGTTAGGTTAGGTTAGGTTAGGTTAGGTAAGGTAAGGTAAGGTAAGGTAAGGTAAGGTAAGGTTAGGTTAGGTTAGGTTAGGTTAGGTTAGGTTAGGTAAGGTAAGGTAAGTACTGTTGATAGTGACTTACATTTTGGTAGTATTATCATCGACGTAATTTTCAGTGAGTCGTAGTTTTATCCGAGGCTGCTGTAGTAAGTGTTCCAACAGTGAGTGACGCAACTAGAGGAAATGTCACGAGGCTCTGGCGGTCTGCACTTGTTCCTGTTAATGTGAAAGAATCCTGCTGTTTAAGGGGGGGGGGGGCTTGTTAATATTAGCATTGACTCGCGTTTTGTGTGATTTAACTTTAGGTGTCTGTAATATAACATTGTTTCTCGTTAACCTTCTGTTTTAACATTGGGTCTCTTATATAGTATTAACTTATTGCTTTGTTAACATTAACTTTGTTGTTAATATTGTAGTTGATTAATTATAACTCATCTATTCTAGTTGACTTAGACCATGTTAATACATTATACGTTGTTTGTTAATATTATATAAATAAGTTTAATGTCGAATATTATGTTTATTATATTATTTTGTTACTTTACGCTTGATAACTTGTCATGAGTAATTTTAATTAGTGTAATTACCTTAATGTTATGAGGTAAGGCAGCAGGTGTGACGGGCTTATGGGGTAACAACTGTGTTACTTAAGCTGTCACGCCTGTACTTACCTGGTATATATTCAACACACTTATAAACTGACTCAAATGTCTTCTTGATAATTACTAACTATATGAGTTATTTTATTATATATATATTAACTGTCTGACCCTGATTTAGTGCTTGTAAAAATAAATACTAATTGCTTATATAAATAGTGCTCGCTCGTGACTAAAAATGACGTTACTTAAAATACAACTTGGTTAAAATAGCTGGCGGCTGTTTGTAAGGAGGCTACTGTAGTCTCCTTACAAGAAGTCTTCATACAGGGTGAGTGGCCACCTGCTGGGAAATGAGTGAATCACCTATGCCGAGAACTTTGGTCAGGTGAGGCTGGCGACAGTTGGGAAATACTGTAGTTAAAACCTGGGAAATAATAGATATATAATACGGGGATGAGAGATATTACTTGGAAATGGGAAATAATAGCAGCAGAGGTAAGCAAGCACCAGGTATAAAGTTCTGGGATGGTGAGGTATTGTTCAGCCGGTGACGTGGGTGGTGACGTGGGTGGTGACGTATTATTTTTTTTCTTCAGATTTTCGCGCCAATATTTACGGTTTGTTTACTCCGATTTTCGCGCTTTTTTTTTGTCTCATTTTTTTCGGACTTGTTTGCTTTCATTCTCTTTATATTCAGATTTTCGCGATATTTGATTGATTTACACGTGTGTTGATTAATGTGTAGATGTATGTATGTAGAACTATTTATGTATATGTATGTATGTATGTGTAGATTTATGTATATATATGTGTGTGTGTGTAGAGGTATGTATGTAGATGTGTGTGTGTGTGTGTGTGTGTTTTAACCTCCGGCCACTCGTCAATAAACAACTTGCCTTTACAGTTTTAAGTTGAATCAATTACAAACCCCAGTACAGTAAGGTGATCACCCGTGTTACTCTCACCTGTCTGTCTGTCTGTCACCAGTGTCCACCCCCACCCCCTCCCCACTCCCCCCACCCACTCCCCCCACCCAATCCCCAATCGTCTCCCCACAAGTCTCGGCCAATTGTAGAGTGAGCGAGACGTTAGTTGGTTGTTTTGGGCGTGTGTGTTGTTTAGTGGAGACCGCAAGTGCTTGTTCTCATCGGGGTGGGTGAGGCGTAATAGTGTATCTCTACTAACCACTGGTGTGTGTGTGTGTGTGTGTGTGTGTTCTGGGTATATGCGTTTATGTGAACATGTACGTATACGAAATAATTCATGTGTGTATATTGAGTACGTTACGTAAAGAGTGTGAGTTTGGGTACATGGCTCTGTTTGAGTGTGTATAAATTTATGTGTTGTGAGGGTGTATGAGTATATGTATCGTGTATATTTAGGGTTAAGTATATATGATATCGGTATGTATGAAGGACTATCGGTATGTATGAAGACTATCGGTATGTATGAAGGACTATCGGTATGTATGAAGGACTATCGGTATGTATGTAATGTAGGGTGAGGATAGCAGGTGTACACAGTCGTCATGACACGTGTCGATATACAGATGTGTGGAACCTAACCCTGAACACCTGTGTCCCGCCTCACCTAGTGGCTCACCCGTCACCTAGTGCCTCACCCCCTCACCTAGTGCTTCACCCCTCACCTAGTGCCACACCTAGTGCCGCATCCTTCACCTAGTGTCTCACCGCCTCCCTAGAGTTAATTTATGTAGTTGATTTAACAGGTGGAAGCTGAGAGGAATGGCCAGCTATATTAATAAAAAATCATAAATTTATAAATGATAATAATTATAACTTGTATTCTGTCAAGTTAACCATATATGTGTGTGTGTGTGTGTGTGTCTGTTTATGTCGTGTTTAACATATATCAATGTAACACTTATTAAACTTTACCTGGGATAAATATTAAGTGTTTATTAAGTTATGATTGATGTGTAAGAACTGCACGGTGGACGGGGTGAGGGTAGTAGGCCCCCCCGTGTTGTGAGAGGGGTGGACGAGTGGTTGATGCCGGGGGTGGGGGTAGTAGCCCCCCTGTTGTGAGAGGGTGGACGAGTGGTTGATGCCGGGGTGGGAGTAGTAGTCCCCCGTGTTGTGAGAGAGGGGTGGACGAGTGGTTGATGCCGGGGTGGGGAGTAGTAGGCCCCCCGTTGTGAGAGGGTGGACGAGTGGTTGATGCCGGGGTGGGAGTAGTAGCCCCCGTGTTGTGAGAGGGTGGACGAGTGGTTGATGTAGCCCCGTGTTGTGAGAGGGGTGGACGAGTGTTGATGTAGCCCCCGTGTTGTGAGGGGTGGACGAGTGGTTGATGTAGGCCCCGTGTTGTGAGAGGGGTGGACGGTTGATGTAGGCCCCCGTGTTGTGAGAGAGGGGTGGACGAGTGGTTGATGTAGGCCCCGTGTTGTGAGAGGGTGGACGAGTGGTTGATGTGGCCCCCCATGTTGTGAGAGGGTGGACGAGTGGTTGATGTAGGCCCCCGTGTTGTGAGAGGGTGGTTGATGTAGGCCCCCGTGTTGTGAGAGGGGTGGACGAGTGGTTGATGTAGGCCCCGTGTTGTGAGAGGGGTGGACGAGTGGTTGGATGTAGGCCCCCCGTGTTGTGAGAGGGTGGTTGATGTAGGCCCCGTGTTGTGGGAGAGGGGTGGACGAGTGGTTGATGTAGGCCCCCGTGGTTGAGAGGGGTGGACGAGTGGTGGATGTAGGCCCGTGTTGTGAGAGGTGGACGAGTGGTTGATGTAGGCCCCCCTGTGTTGTGAGAGGGGTGGGACGAGTGGTTGATGCCGGGTGGGAGGTAGTAGCCCCCTGCAGGTGTGAGAGAGGGTGGACGAGTGGTTGATGCCGGGTGGAGTAGTAGCCCCCGTGTTGTGAGAGGGGTGGACGAGTGGTTGATGCCGGGTGGGAGGTAGGCCCCGTGTTGTGAGAGGGGTGGACGAGTGGTTGATGCCGGGGTGGGGAGTAGTAGGCCCCCGTGTTGTGAGAGGGGTGGACGAGGAGCTGATGTAGCCCCCGTGTTGTGAGAGGGTGGACGAGTGGTTGATGAAGCCCCCGTGTTGTGAGAGGGGTGGACGAGTGGTTGATGGAATTCCCCCGTTGTGAGAGGGGTGGACGAGTGGTTGATGCCCGGGGCTACCTGGCCACACGGTCCCTTAACTATTATTATTATTATTATTGTTGTTATTATTGTTTTTATTGTTACTATTACATTTATTATATTTATCATTACTTTCATTATTAATGTTATTGTTATAATTATTATTATTAGTAGTAGTAATAGTAGTATTGGTATTATTATTAATGTTCTTATTTATTGTTAACATTTATAATTAGTTGCAGTATTTGTTTTTATTATTAATTATTACTATTACCAATATCCAGTTGGGCAGCGTGGGTGTGGTGGGCCCAGCAGGTAAACTTTACCACGTGGTGAAGTGGGTGGTGGTGGGCCCAGCAGGTAAACTTTACCACGTGGTGAAGTGGGTGGTGGTGGGCCCAGCAGGTAAACTTTACCACGTGGTGAAGTGGGTGGTGGTGGTGCCCAGCAGGTAAACTTTACCACGGTGAAGTGGGGTGCGGTGGGCCCAACAGGTAACCATTACCACGTGGTGAAGTGGGGTGGTGGTGTGGGCCCAGCAGGTAAACTACCACGTGGTGTAGTGGGTGGTGGTGTGTAGCCCAGCAGGTAAACTTTTTACCACGTGGTGTAGTGGGTGGTGGTAAATTCAGCAGGTAAACCTCTACCACGTGGTGTAGTGGTGGTGGTGTAGCCCAGCAGGTGGTAAACTTTTTACCACGTGGTAGTGGTGGAACCCAGCAGGTAAACTTTATCACGTGGTGTAGTGGGTGGTGGTGGGCCCAGCAGGTAATTTTACCAGTGGTGAAGTGGGTGGTGGTGCAGCCCAGCAGGTGCAAACTCGTCAATGGTGTAGTGGGTGTGGCAGCCCAGCAGGTAAACTTTACCACGTGTGGTGTAGTGGGTGGTGTGGGCCCAGCAGGTAAACTTTACCACGTGGTGTAGTGGGTAGGAAAATCTGTAGCAGGTAAACTTACGAGGTGGTGTAGTGGGTGGTGGTGGGCCCAGCAGGTAAACTTTACCACGTGGTGTAGTGGGTGGTGGTGGGCCCAGCAGGTAAACTTTACCACGTGGTGTAGTGGGTGGTGGTGGGCCCAACTTTACCACGTGGTGTAGTGGGTGGTGGTGGGCCCAACTTTACCACGTGGTGTAGTGGGTGGTGGTGGGCCCAACTTTACCACGTGGTGTAGTGGGTGGTGGTGGGCCCAGCAGGTAAACTTTACGAGGTGGTGGTGTATATATATAGACTGGTTGTGGTCAGGTATGACTTAATCTTTCTGCTGCGTTAATTACAAATGGCTATATTTAGTATGGCGGCCACACGACGCACCTGGTCACGGCACTACTTTCTGCTCCATTGAGTAAGGTGAGGCTCCACTACAGTACAGTCATCTTAGCTGATTATGTCACGGCTATTTGTACACTCTTGAGACATCTCCCTTGTGGAAGAAATGGCTCCTGGGTAGATAATATCAAGTTGTTGCTTTGTTTACGTGTGTGTGTGTGGACCTGAGAAAGATGGAAGCTTGGAGTGACAACAAATATGGTAGTGCTTGTACCATGTGGTGTTGAGAGAGAGAGAGAGAGAGACATTCTTACACATTTCCGGGAAAGAATCAGTCTTCCTTTGGACGTCGGCGGCACCTTGTAAGTTGCCTGTTCAACACACTCCCAGCCCCCGGTACCCACACTCCCAGCCCCCGGTACCCACACTCCCAGCCCCGGTACCATTCACACCCAGCCCCCGGCACTTCTTCTAGTCCCCTGCACACACCCAGCCCCTGCACTCCACACTCCCAGCCCCTGGTACCCACACTCCCAGCCCCTGGTACCCCTCTTCTAGTCCCTGTACCCACACACCCAGCCCCGGTACCCACACCCCAGCCCCGGCACCACACTCCCAGCCCCCGGTACCCCCTCTTCTAGTCCCCGGTACCCCTCACTCTCCCAGTCTCCAGTAATGCTCAACTAACTGCGACTGGAAAATTTTAGATCTCGATACTGGGATCCTGTAGCACGCACGCACACACACACACAGAGAGACAGACAGACAGACAGACACACACACACACACACACACACACACACACACACACACACACACACACACACACACACAGAGCATACAGACAGACACACACACACACACACACACACACACACACACACACACACACACACACACACACACACACACACACGAGGTTGTTGGTCTCTTGTCATTCATCAGGACGGTGGCTAACGTGACGTGAGTCCATTCTTGAGTTTAGTGTTGGTGGTAGCCGTCCATTGGTGCTGAGAGACAGTTACTTATATATTGGTGTGTCGTAAAAATATTCTGATAATCTTTATAATAACTTTTTAGGATCTTATAAATTCTTTTAACCTGTAATGTGTGTGTGTGACCTGATCAGTTCAGTGGTGTGACTTATGACTTTCGGTATCGTCTGAACTGTTACTAATTATATGTGTTTATGAGTCAGTCTAGTGCTGAGTTGATGTGTTCCTTAGTGATCAGTGTTGTGTAGGAGTGAGTGTAGCGTGACGGTAAAGCTGATGAACCAACCAGGGGTGAGTGTAGCGTCACGGTAAAGCTGATGAACCAACCAGGAGTGAGTGTAGCGTCACGGTAAAGCTGATGAACCAACCAGGAGTGAGTGTAGCGTCACGGTAAAGCTGATGAACCAACCAGGAGTGAGTGTAGCGTCACGGTAAAGCTGATGAACCAACCAGGAGTGAGTGTAGCGTCACGGTAAAGCTGATGAACCAACCAGGAGTGAGTGTAGCGTCACGGTAAAGCTGATGAACCAACCAGGAGTGAGTGTAGCGTCACGGTAAAGCTGATGAACCAACCAGGAGTGAGTGTAGCGTCACGGTAAAGCTGATGAACCAACCAGGGTGAGTGTAGCGTCACGGTAAAGCTGATGAACCAACCGGGGGGTAGCGTGTAAAAAGCTGATGAATTTGAGTGTGGCGTGACGGTAAAGCTGATGAACCAACCAGGGTGAGAGTGTAGCGTCACGGTAAAGCTGATGAACCAACCAGGGGTGAGTGTAGCGTCACGGTAAAGCTGATGAACCAACCAGGAGTGAGTGTAGCGTCACGGTAAAGCTGATGAACCAACCAGGTGAGTGTAGGCGTCACGGTAAAGCTGATGAACCAACCAGGGTGAGTGTAGCGTCACGGTAAAGCTGATGAACCAACCAGGAGTGAGTGTAGCGTGACGGTAAAGCTGATGAACCAACCAGGGGTGAGTGTGGGTCACGGTAAAGCTGATGAACCAACCAGGGTGAGTGTAGCGTCACAAAGCTGATGAACCAACCAGGAGTGAGTGTAGCGTCACGGTAAAGCTGATGAACCAACCAGG